TGGAGAGTCAGAATGTCAGCACATGTGTGCCCTGGCCATCTACCTGGCTCTGAGCCGCCTGTTGCCAGCCTCGGCAGGGACACACTCCTGCACTTCATTGCCAGAGACTTGGAACACCTAGAGTTGACATTCTCCCGTGCCATCTGCCTCAAGGAACCAAGGGGAGGAAACACAACCTCTGTTAGAAAGATGCCAGCCAACCTGGACCTGCGCCCTGGCCTGGGCTCACTGCGGGCATGGCACTGGCGTGAAGTCGTCCCTCCTGCCGCACATAGGGTCCTCCTCTAGCTTTCACATTGCTGGCTCAGTAGAAGTAATGCGAAGGTGGAAATGGCACTCAATCCAGAGGTGGCTTTTCCTTTGGACCTGAAAAAGCATGCTCGTAGCATGACCACTGAGACAAGGGCTGCTCCGTCCTCTCTGCTCCCCAGACCAGAACCTCCCAGGTTGATCCTCCCCACTGGGACAGGCACCCTGAGGACCAGTCTGTGTGTTCTCAGAAATCACGAGCCTCAATTCCTCTGCCTGTCTCCCTGAGGCCTTCTGCACTGCACAGATGTCGGGGTCAGCAGGGCCAGCTGTTCTGAGGCAGCCATCAGCAAACGTCAAATGGAAGGGACTTGGGCAGAAGTCTAATTAACAGCTTCGGAAAGATCCATGTATTTTAAGAGCGTGTTATCCCAATTAGAGATGAGGTGCTAACATCTCCCAGCTGCTGCTTGAGGGACTGGACTCCAGGTTGCTGTCCAGGAGCCTTAGACGGCTGTCTAATAGCTGTGGTCCCTCATGACCCCAGTGCAGATGGAGTTCTTTTCTGTATGGGAGGCTTTTCCTCCACCCTCACACTAAAGCCTGCACTGTGTCAAAGGCTAGGACTTTGAAATAGTTCTCTGTAGGTTGGTATGGTCTGTGGTTTCCTGTCCTGTCCTGTCCTGTCGTGTGGGCTTTAGCTTGTAGCGCAAGAATTAGGCAGTGACTAGCCAGGCAGCATTGGCTTCTCTGCCTTCAGTTTGCACTTCAAACACCTCTGCCTTTGCCTCGCCCTTCATTTTAGGCCTCACCTTTAGTCTCCCTGCATGTCCCTAGGTTTCTGTGGAGATTACTGGTTGGGAGTACCCTGGAAACTGACCCAATCTAAGCAGGAAAGGTTGATCAAGACACCCTGCATAAGGACACATCCCTATATTCAAAACAGATCAGTGTCCGAGGACCTTCACACATAAACAACCCTATATCCCAAAGAACATAGAATCAGTGGTGATGTGAGAGGTGCCATTTGGAGGACATCATTGCTTTGATGAGGGAAAGCCAGGGTTGTACTGGAGCTGGCTCATTCTGTGTCACAAGAACTGACTGGTGATGTGTCGGAAATATGGGGTGCCGTTATTCAACATAATTTGATATTGAAAATCAAATTATGTAAGTTTGTAGATGCATTATATTTTAAAACAAAAGCAACAAACCGTTAGATTTCATTCTTTGGTCATTATTATCTGTGCGTGTGGAGTTATCTGCAGCCACCAACCTCTATGTGAGGGGCGTGGTCTGCACAGCGTGTGCTGCTCTGCATTCCCTCAAGTCCACGTTCACTGACACCACACAACAGCCTGAAGTCAGCCATGGTAGGAGAGCGCACAAGGAATGGGCAAATCTTCTAAACAAGGGCTTTCCCCCATGTTGCCGGTTTTGCTAGCAGGGCACTTATGTACAGAACATAACCCCATGAGGCCAGCTATCTCCTCCTCTTCAGCTACAAACACACATTAGGGCTCTCCTTTTGTACCTGCCCAAAGGATGTGAACAAGGAAACTCATGGAGATTGTGGCATGAGGCAGAACCAGCATTGAGCCCTGTGAGTCCCCTGGATGTGGCAGCCTGAGAGATCCAGGGGTGGCCTTGAGGAGGCACGTCAATGACCACTTGTAAGAACATCAGCAACAGACATGGCTTAGAGAAGAACTGGGTGCTGCATGCTAGCTTGGGAACAAATGCCTTGATATTATCTTAGTACACGCATTACTTGGAGAGTTGAGAGGGTGGGTGCAGCTGTATTCTCCTCGCTTCCTCGAATGGTACAATGGCTGCTGGACCAGAAGAGACATCTAGCCTGCGTCTCTGAGGACTTTCACAGCATGTCTCTCTGTGTATTTTCTTCTTAGTGCTCACAAAATCCCCAGGAGGTAAACCCTTCTTCTCTAGCTCTCAGAAGCAATGTGGTGGGAAAAACAGTGAATGCAGGGTTAGTTTTTACCCAGGACCTGGGAAGCATTGCCCGTGTTCAGGTAAGCCTGCTCTATCCTTTTCAGTCCCCAGCCCAGGCCTCACAAGGCTGGTCCCCGCATCACAGCTAAGGCCCAAAGTGGTTAGTGGTTAAAGATGCATCACCTGGGTGAATCATCCAGATAGCCTGGGTGATTCAAGCTCTGCCAGCTGCCACACTGTACTACCCTGCCACTTTGCTGGCATCCTGGTGTCCGTATAGGGGCACAGAGCTACGGCCTGCCCTCCCAGAATCTCTAGTCTAGCTCGAAGAAGAGGTGAGCTGTGAGCTGTCAGAGTCAGGGCTGCGTGCATCTCCATCCCCTGTCCTTTCCCTTGCATGCACAGAGCTAGCTCAGCCTTGACCCCTCCAGGCAGACTTCCGTGACCTCTTCCCCCACCCCCACCCAGCCTCTTCTCCCAGGTCTTGTTTTTCTCAGTCCTGTGTGTTTCTGAGCTCACCAGCCTCATTTTATAATGACTAATAATATCCAAGCTATTCTCCACATTAAAACATCAACTCCTTGAAAGCTGGGTGTGGAGGAATTCAGCTTCGTGTCCCCAGCAGTAAACAGGCCAGATCAATGGGCCAATGAATGCATCCCCAGACGGCTTCCAGACCCACACATCTTGCAAAAGTACAATGAGACAT